ACAGCATCGGTATCAACATTGTTTTCAATATAACAATCAGGTTGTTATGTGAATAAGGTATTGAGCAACGCGAGTTACTCAGAGTTACTCAAAATTAACTGCGATTTTACGCATGGCCGAAAGCTGTCTTACCCCCAGCCGTGTACCAATTGATTGAGTGAATCCGATCATAACTTTTCGCATGTTCGGAAATTTTTTCCTGGACAATTGGGTTGTTTAACGTCGAAAAATGTACCGATTTTTATACATCATCTGATAGAGCTTTGTTTTCTGAGCACAACGAAATCGATAAATCCCGTAGACATTCATCTCGATTTTTAAATCAAGATTTAAATTGTTGATCGTTTGCACTAAATCTATTCGTTGACAGCTCGCTCCCATACAAAGTCCCATCAAGGGGCGCTGGTGATTTTTGCTAATGTAATCGTACTTATTTAAAATTGTTTCAGTGAACCAACATTGTTGAAATTTTCGTAACATTCGGTTCTATTTTTAATGCAGATAACGAATATGTATTTACCTCAATACCCCTAAACAACTCAATTATGGAAAAACATTAGGAAAATTTACTCATCGCTGAGTTCCTACACTCAAAGATAAATTAAATCAAAAAAGCTTAAAAAGTATGCAGTTTCCCGCTTCACCTTATTGAGTCCCAGCCATGATTACTTCGGCAGTAGTCATGCATGATTAAAATCGAAATAATTTTTCCAGTATTAAATTTTATTCTTTTTCAATACTGATATATAATCAAAAATGATTAAAATTCAATCAAAATTTATTAAAATATAATCAAAAATGATTAAATTTTATGCAAAATAAGATAATCTACAATCTAATCAACCATGATTAAACTGGGATTACTATCAGATGCTTATTTTTTAATCATTCGATATGATTAAACTGAGCTTAATGTCAAATTGATTAAATTTCAAGCAAAATGGGAATAGTTCAATTTATCAGTGTACACTTAGTGATTTATGGGTGAACTAAACTAAAATTTGGGTGTTCTCGTTGGCCGTGCAGATTTTTGTGATTTTGAGTAAAACCCCACTCAATTTTGAGTTGATCTCATCGACCGTGAGGATTTCCAGTGCCATAAAACCACAGTGCAGAATAGGAGAACTAGTACAACAGTGGATGATTAATTATTGGACGGTGGCTGTTCGGGCTAGGGGACACAGTGTTTTGTGCGATTTTTTTAAATTTGCATTTGATTTTGGATTGAAAATTTTCAAAATTTTGTAATATTAAGAGTGTGTCAATTTTTATAATTTTCCTATCGTGAATGCTCGAAAAAAATTTAAAACAAAAGTTTAATTTTGGCGGGATGAAGTTCGCCGGGTCTGCTAGTTTTTTTTATATTTTGCTCTTGAATTTGATCAGCAACTTTGAGCATATGAAGGCTTGCCATTGGCCGTATGCATAAAAAGAGTTTACCTTCCCGTGTTTCTCTTACGGGGTAAGTAAAGTGGACGGTTTGAGAGGCTGCAGCTTAAATGCATTTAAAGCCTTCGACAGACATTACAAAGTACACCCACCGACAAACCGACATGAAACTAAAACTTAACTCTTGATCGAGAATCCATAACGTCGGATTCAAATGTGCAGCGATCCCATCTGTCAAAACCATAGAAATTTGTTATCTAGATAAAAATAATTTGCCCGGAATAGATTAGACACGATGTATGTTCGTGGCTAGGATACACATTTTTCGCGAGCACGACGGCAGATGTCAGTTTTATGCTTTGATCAGAAATTTGATGATACTTTGTATGATCATTCATGTCGGTTTGTCGGTGGTACACCGTTGAACCACAGACAAACAGACATAACACATTGAATATTTATCACTATAAAACATTGTCGCTAAAACATTACCGCCATCTGTTGAGTACACTGTGGTGGGCACTACGCTGAACAGATGGCGGTAATGTGTAAACGTCAAACGCAAGAGAATTGACTGTGCGCACCACAGGTGGTGGTACTACCAACTACGATACTTTTAAATTGTCCGCTAAATGCTTGTTCGATGAACAACTTACGAGTGTTATGTATGTTTGTCTGTGGTTGATCCATAGAGGTTACTTGTAATATGTTTTGTTTTCAAGTGAAAGCGTTTCCAATACCACCAGCATTTGTTATCCGCTAAAACAAATCGTAAAATAAAAATTACAAAAAATCCGTTTTTGAGAAAACATATTTTTAAGTATTTATTTTTATATAGTGCATTTTTAGTGTACTTATTATTACCTTTTTTTCTAAATAGCCTCAGCCATTACCTACAACTTTACTCATGGCACCAATCCGATCGGTAAAAAAACAAACAATTTTTGAGTAACAGTTTTTCGAAGATAAACTTAATGTTTTCTGTGGGCCTTTTTAAAAAATAAGGCTTGATTCAGTCAGCAGAAAAAAATGGATCAAATTTAAGATCATAAATCTAATGGAATTGAAAAAAATATTGCTATCCATCCAATCAAAAATTAAATAATACCGGAAAACAGGCTCGCCTTCTCTCCATTTGTTAACTAGTTTCGTCCTAAACACAATTTACTCCGAAGTTCTTTAATGATTAACTTTAATTCGCCCACTTTTTCATGCTGCTCCCGTTTTTACCGCCTATAAATTTGACCAGACGCATTTCGTTACTATATGAGAATCAATCCCACTGTGATTAAATTGAATTAAATTTTCATTCATAAACACTTGCATCAGAATCCATCTCCGTACTAGTAGAACAGTTACCAGTTATCAAAGTTGGCACGCGTGGAGAATAGAAGAACTATGAAAGTGATGATGGTTTCAAAATTTTACACGGGGAAGTATACGAGTGCAATCTTAAAATGCTTTTATTTTGTGAATGGAGCATTTTATTTAAATCTGGTAAGTGCTACGTTAGTAGAAAACACTAGGACTACTCAATAGACATATAATACAGAAAACTTAATTTCTTTTCAGATTTTTAGGTGTAAACATAGACTTCCGCTTTTCTACCACTGTAGCAGTAACCAGATTTAAATAAAATGCTCCATTTTCAAAATAAAAGCATTTTAAGATTGCACTCGTATACTTCCCCGTGCAAAATTTTGAAACCATCATCACTTTCATAGTTCTTCTATTCTCCACGAGTGCCAACTTTGATTTGCCAATCCCGTTTGTCTGTTTGTTGCTGACTGACATTCATTCGATAATATAACGGTTATGTTCAACTGGTTCAAAACAGGTCTAGCAATGTGGATATGGTCATCTTACTCATACTTACGCCGTGCTGCTGACACAGTGAAGTGACGTCATGTTTGCTTTTCTCTTAAAAGGCAATGAAACGAAAGAGAAGTCCAGCAACACACGGTCAGACCTATTCATTCTTGCGTTTCTTGCTATGGTATTGTATTTGTGTTATACTCACTACTAGTGCATAACATCACGCCATCTCGTTTGCACGCCCAAGTTTATAAATTCGCCGTCTGAGCAGGCCAGGGTCGAGACGGCTAATACATAGGTGTAACAGTCGGAAGAAGTGTTAGTTTGTTTACTTAAATGAACCATGCCCATTTTGTTATGGCATGTTTGCTATACGAAATGCGCCTCGTGTTTATTAGCGAATTTCACATCAAAGATTGATTAATTGAGTAGGAAATCAGTTTGGCACGGCATTTGTGACCAGCATACACCTTCCGGTAGTATGAAACAGGTCAAAAACTGTTCAAATCCGCAGATAAAATTTTTGTTTTGAATTTCTGTATAGCAAAATAGTGAACTTTTCGTGAACATTAACGGCAAAGAACTCACCAACACTGGGAGACTGTGAGTTCCTGTCCACCTGTTCATTTTCCATCGTGGGCCAGGGTCACGATGGAAAATGAACAGGTGGGCAGGAACTCACAGTCTCCCAGTGTTGGTGAGTTCTTTGCCGTTAATGTTCACGAAAAGTTCACTATTTTGCTATACAGAAATTCAAAACAAAAATTTTATCTGCGGATTTGAACAGTTTTTGACCTGTTTCATACTACCGGAAGGTGTATGCTGGTCACAAATGCCGTGCCAAACTGATTTCCTACTCAATTAATCAATCTTTGATGTGAAATTCGCTAATAAACACGAGGCGCATTTCTTATAGCAAACATGCCATAAGAAAATGGGCATGGTTCATTTAAGTAAACAAACTAACACTTCTTCCGACTGTTACACCTATGTATTAGCCGTCTCGGGCCAGGGCACGATGGAAAATGAACAGGTGGGCAGGAACTCACAGTCTCCCAGTGTTGGTGAGTTCTTTGCCGTTAATGTTCACGAAAAGTTCACTATTTTGCTATACAAAAATTCAAAACAAAAATTTTATCTGCGGATTTGAACAGTTTTTGACCTGTTTCATACTACCGGAAGGTGTATGCTGGTCACAAATGCCGTGCCAAACTGATTTCCTACTCAATTAATCAATCTTTGATGTGAAATTCGCTAATAAACACGAGGCGCATTTTGTATAGCAAACATGCCATAAGAAAATGGGCATGGTTCATTTAAGTAAACAAACTAACACTTCTTCCGACTGTTACACCTATGTATTAGCCGTCTCGGGCCAGGGCACGATGGAAAATGAACAGGTGGGCAGGAACTCACAGTCTCCCAGTGTTGGTGAGTTCTTTGCCGTTAATGTTCACGAAAAGTTCACTATTTTGCTATACAAAAATTCAAAACAAAAATTTTATCTGCGGATTTGAACAGTTTTTGACCTGTTTCATACTACCGGAAGGTGTATGCTGGTCACAAATGCCGTGCCAAACTGATTTCCTACTCAATTAATCAATCTTTGATGTGAAATTCGCTAATAAACACGAGGCGCATTTCGTATAGCAAACATGCCATAAGAAAATGGGCATGGTTCATTTAAGTAAACAAACTAACACTTCTTCCGACTGTTACACCTATGTATTAGCCGTCTCGGGGCCAGGGTGTCTGTCAGCAAGATGCTAGAGCAAGATAAACTACTCCACTCGAGTGAAAACAAGAAGAGCAAATTCTTCAGTCTAGATTCACTTGTCCCGTGGTTCGGTTGTGTGTTTGAATTTTAGCTCGGATCGCCGAAGCAGCAGCCTGATTGGGAACCGGATAGAAGAAGATTTTGGTGGAAAATCGCGTGATTGTCCTGACGGCAAAGACGGTTTGCAAAGAGTGCCGTATAATCCGGTGTTTGTGTGAGTGTGTGTAGCTTGATTTGGGAAAGGAAGAACAGTGCGATTATTTTTAGCTCGATTGCGGTGCGAATTTTTGGCTCTAGACGAAAGCCGAATTTTGTCTGCCGGTTGGGTGAATACGGTTCAGATTTTCAAGTACGGAAAAACTGCGGGACCAGTGGTGAAAGGCTCGCCCCTACAACGCTGTGCATGTGCATAATATTCGTGGGTGCAGATTGTAATCAGTTGTGGTTGGTTGGTGTGAATATTTTTTGATCTTACAAAAATAGCAGAAGATTATTTTCGGTGAGTTTTCTTACCCCAGTGACTGCGTGGAAGTTTTGTGCGAATCAGTATCCAAAAGAGAAAGCCAGAGAAGAAATAAGAAGAATCGTCCGCTTGCAGCGGCAGAAGCAGAAAATCGTACGATTCGCCACATAAACACTTTTTAGTGTGTTCATCTCTCGCTCGTTCCTTTTTGTGTTGCCCGAGCAGGGCCCGAGTGAAAGGGAAAGGAACACAAAGCTCGGTGACAGTTCCTTGTTTACAAGACTCTATTTGCGGGTGTGATTGCATTTCCCCCTTCCTGTACGTGAATGCCTTCTAGTCAAGGTTACCGTAAGGTAGCATCCGAGCCGGTTGACCCGGAGCCAGTGGGATCTCACGTTGGCCCAGACACGCCAAAGGACAGCACAATGCCCGGCCAGAAGGCAGAACAGCAGACGGTCGTGACCGGAAATCCGGCCGGGAAGATCCCGGCCACCAACTCACAGCAACGGCTAATGCCGGCCGATTCGGACAGTGCGTCCTCGTCGCTATACGAGGCAGATCTGGAAGCAACACCGGGCGGTGGTGGTGGCGGTGGGCTTCGTCATTTACCCGCAGATGACGACGGATCGGTGACGGTGAGCAGCAGCAGCACCGGGCGGGTGTCCCGGACGGCCTGGTTCACCGTGATTGTGCTGTCTTTTGTCAATCTCATCAACTACATGGATCGGTTTACGATTGCAGGTAGGTTGTGGGTTACGGGATTCGAGGGGAGGGGGGCGGTTTGTTGTTATGATGAAGATGCCTAGTAGGTGTAGCATGGAATAGGCGAGCGCTGAATATATGATGTAGAAATTCAGAACGGTGTGCGATTAGCGCCACTTGTTGATTGTTTTAGCGTCAGGAGAAAATGTAATAACGTGTTTATTTTTTAGCTGTATCTAGAAAACTATCCTACTGAGATTTTCTGACTACATTTTTGGCGGCACGAGTTTACACAAGTGCCATAGGCCAAACATTGAAGTTCATTTTTTACTTTTATGTGTAAATTAGTGTTATCAGTCTCAGTCAGATTGACTGAAAAATTAATAATATTACCCTTAATAATAGCTATAGAACTTTTCAACAGTGCAATATGGAAAAGGCTAAAAGACTATGCCTATAGTAATTTCTATATAAACTTCAAATGGTTTGTGCCAAGTCAGTTTCTTACGAAATGAGTTCAATTTGGAACCATTTGAGTACTGTGAAGCGAAATTTTGCAGCAGTCTACTCCGCATCTTGATTTTTTTTAAAAAGATTTCCGTTAGTACAGATCATGGTGTGTTAAAACATTTTAATGCTCGGATATCTTTGTATGAAGTTCAAGATTTATAAAACAATTTCTTAATTTAATATCTCATTCTAAAATTCCATTTCAATCCGATAGGGTGCGGCTAGTGACCTTAAATAAATTCCATGACTCTGTTACTTGAGCTTAAAAAAGTATTCAAATTCATTCGAAGTATCTCTGGTATCATTTTAACACTGACTTTTGGTTTTTGCTGAATATTATAAAATTTTATAGGTTTAACCGGGAAAAAATCGGGAATTCCAAAATGGAAAATCACGGGCGACCCTGTTAAACGTACTTCCCATAACTACCTTGACATTTACCTCCGAATGTATCTAGCGTTATTCCAAAAAATTCGTTTAGAATTCTACTGAAATTTCAAGCTCAAAAATCTGAAAAAAAACACCTTGTCTCAGAAATTGCATGTCCCAGAATCATGAGCCATTTTCTTAGTTCGTAATCTTCAAAAATATTTTAGATCGACATCTCAATTGTTATTCCCCGGATCTCATCGTTTTCAAAAAGAATTTCTATGTTCAATCTATCAACTTCTAACATGCGGTGTAATAGCGTTCGGCCGAGTGCCTTTAGGACTCCAAAATATTATCTTAACTATGGAACTTTGACGATCTATTCTAATCCTGAATTAATTAAAAAATATGAGAAGCAATTTTGTTTCAAAATTAGGACAGGGGAAGCATGTACAATATTTTAAGTAGTAAAATTTTGTTGTAAGTTTAGATGATTTCATTTGAGGTGGATTCGTAGTCACAACCCTAAGTAATGGCTGAACACGAAAAAATCCGGACACACTAAAAACGCTGTCACTAAGGCATTTTTTGAGTTTTTTTTTTTTTTATTTCATTGTATCACGCTAATACCCCGTTCACATTACATCCTATATCATGTAACAGGATTTCCAGTGAAAACTAGATGTATGAGTGCGCATTGCAAGACAGCGTATATCACGTGATATACGCTGTAATGTGAACTTTAGTCGCTATATTCATAGTCTGGCGGATAGAATCTCGGGAACCAATTGAGCTGTCAAATAGCGGAACCAATCGAGCAAATCATGACCAACAACAGAAAAGAGCACATCAGCTATTGCGAACAAAACTTCGGAAACCCTTTTCTCGTGACTCAAGGGTCGCCTACGCAAACTGACACCATCTTTGGGTTGGGGAATATTTCCCCTATCCGATGATGCCGGTAATTTGCGTTCGATTGGCGAGGAAAGAATAATCAATTAATGAATTATAAATTTGATAGAACCTTTTCAATTGTTGATTTAAAATATATTGAATTGGTTCCGCTTTTTGATAGATCGAAATTCTATCCGCCAGACTAAGAATATAGCGACTATAATGTGAACGGGGTATAAGAGAGTATAGTATCACAGAAGGCATTGGTTGTCAGGATAAGTTCAATATTTTAAATTTGTCGAACCTCTTAACGGAATCTCTTTATAAAGAGCTTTGAGTGTGTTGGTTTATTTCCTTAAAATTCCGTTACAATTGATTATCTTTTGACAGATACGCGTATTTCGTCTACTACTTGCAGACTTCATCAGTGCCAAGTACCAAGTGGTGTTGAGTACTTGGCATTCATGAAGTCTGCAAGTAGTCGAAATACGCGTATCTGTCAAAAGATAAAGATAAGTTCGTTTGTTTACATCATGGCTTCACCGGAGCAAGCACGTTGCGATTTGATCCTGCACGCTCGAAACGAAAATCCCGGTCTATCCGCTCCTTGCAGTTTTTGATCAAATTCCTGGGCAGGAATTTTATACCTCGGTTGACCGCAAGAGTGCCCCGGTAGAATGTAAAATGAAAAAGAAGTCGAAATTCCCCAAAAGTTCCTTGTCTGGCAAGCAATATGCCTACGGAAGAGATTACTTTCTTTGTTGGTGCAGCATGTGGTGGATTGCTTATTCTGGCCGGACATGGCAAGCTGCCACTACTTAAATTCCCCCAAACAGTGGTACAGCGAAAATGGCGTCACAGCGGTTCCCAAGGAGATAAATCCGGCCAATGCTCCGGAACCAGTGGCGTCACGTAACCTCAATTTTTACCTGTGCACCAACTTTCAAAACCAGATTTAATGCCATATTCATACTCGAATCAGTTGAAAAATACACTTAATCGATATCTATCCATTTCAATAAATATTTTGATAATTGTGTATGTTTTGAAAGCTGGTGCACAGGTAGATTGAGGTTAAGGCGACGCCACTGTCCGGAACTAAGCCAATTGAGAAATACTGGTCAATTGTGAAGCACATACTGAAGAAAAAGGGTGGAACTGCTATTGACCTGAAGGATTTCAAGCGGAAATCGAATTTGACAGCCAAACAAGTGGGAACAGGGCTCGTGCAAAAGATAATGGGCCGTGTACGCAGAAAAGTTTGAGCAATGACCTATGGTAAGAAGGAAGACTGAAACAATGGTAGTTAAGTAAAGGGCGAACACGAGATTATTGCAACACTTACAACTGGCTGTATCTTTATTCCTACTAGGCGGAAATTAACCAAACTTTGCATAGTTTCTCTTTGAAGTGAATTGTTTACATCATTTACGTTATTGTCTGTTTCGATGCGGCTAAGATGGACAGGTTCAAGGACCGGTTGACATTGTATCACAAGCACGGAGCAGGAAGGAAACCGGATAGGGTAATTTTACCCGAAATCCCAACATTTCAACACGTGATGTTGGCAAAAAGGTCGGTGTTTCACAAAGTTACGTGCAGAATGTCAAGACAAGAGCTGTACTACATGCATTCAAGGTTCAAAACTTCCCAAACCGCGATGAACGTCAGCAAACTGTTGCCAAAACTCGCACAAGGATGCTCTACACGGAAATGTTGACCAGATACAGTTGCTGTGTGATGAATGATGAAACATTGCTAGCTTCCAACAAATACCCCAGGACATGGGTTTTATACCGGAAAAGATAAGTTCCAAGTGGATGATCGTTTCAAGAAACAGAAAATGTCGAAATTTGCATCAAAATACCTGATTTGACAGGCTATCTGCACCTGTGGAAAAAAAAGTAAAATATTCGTCACAAAGAGCACCATCAATGGTGAAATTTACAAAAACTAATGCCTCCATAAACGTCTGCTGGCAGCACAGTTAAAAACCATTGTTTTGGCTGGATTTAGCTTCATGTCACTATTCTAAAAGCGTGCTGGAATGGTACGAGGTTAACTCGGTGCATTTTGTCCCCAAGGACATGAATCCACTGAGCTGTCCAGAACTACTCCCAATCGAAACCTATTGGTCCATGATGAAGCGGAAACTCAGAAAGACCAAGAAGAAAGTAAAGGATACAAATGACATGCGGAGGAAATGGAAACAATTAGAAAAAGGTACCGGATACGACTGAACAAGTTCTTACGGATGGCGTGAAGCAAAAGTATCGGGCATTTTACTAAACATCCACAAAAATTGATCCAATATATGTATACTGAGCTAAATACATGTATAGAACCACCCTAAAAATTCGTTTTTTCCCCTGATAAATACGTGGAATTTGAGAGCAAATTAAATGTGTTGCAATAATTTCGTGTTCACTCTTTTCGGATTTAGAATAGCTACATTAAACTATGAAAACTAACCTTAACAAACTGGAAGGAATAATTTTAGAACTTTCAAACACAGTCAAGTATCTGGGAGCTACTCTTGACATCAAATTAAATTGGAATTCTCATCTAGAGCAAGTCAGGCAACAAATGCTCTTTGGATAAGTAAAGAAACTTTTGGTAGGAAATGGGGATTAAAACCTTTAAAAGATCCACTGGATTTATTTGACGATTGTAAGACCCAGAATAGCCTATGTATCATTGGTTTGGTGGCCTAAAACCAATGAAAAATCAGCTCAGAAGAAGCTGGGGAGGCTGCAAAGGCTAGCTACTCTCTCAATAACTGGTGCAATGAGCAGCACACCAAGTATGGCACTGGATGCTCTACTTTATCTGCTTCCGTTGCATCAATTTATTCAATTAGAAGCCGAAAGGAGTGCATTAAGGATCTGACCGTCACAGCACTTACTTGAAGGCGATCTTAGAGGACATATGAGCATCCGAAAAATGTTCAATATTTATTCTCTTGTGATACAAAATGAAGATTGGATAAAGAAAAAATATCATTTCGATCGTCTTTACAATGTAGCAGATACGGATCGCGATTTGTAGGACAATGGGGGACCAAACATTCGTCCAGGATTGGATAAACGTGTAGGAGCAAGGGTTACAGGTCCAGGAATAAATATCTCAATTTCTATGGGCTACTGGTCTACCGTGTTCCAAGCAGAAGTTCAAGCAATTCTTGAATGTTCTAAAATTTTCTTGCGTAGAAATTATAGACATTCGAATATCTGCATTATGTCTGATAGTCAAGCAGCACTGAATGC